TTTTGATGATATGAAACCGTGCTTTGCTATTTGTTTATGCTTCTGACACAATATAGTGCTATAAATTAAGACACTTGGCGGATTTTCTCATCTTTATTTAGTTGATACGTGTGGAAAAAATTACACGTTTCGAGCTCTTAAGCCCCTCTTCAGTCAACTAAAACATTTAAAAAGGATATAACATACACATAAAAAGGAATACACAAGTTTTGTAAAATTCTTAAAAAATAAAACATACCTATCCATACAGGTTTTATAAATTAAAGTAGCAGTTTACTTTCGATATTTTTTCAGCAACATCAGCTTATTCACAGTATTTTTTCTTGTAGCCTACTATAATATTAGGAGAGTATACAACGTATCTATATAAAACTATACATAAGTTTTATAGTATCTATAAAACTATATTCAATTAAGGCATACCTTGAGTACGGCTGTTATTAAGGTTGTACTGTACAAAATTGATTATACCTTTTACTTATAAAACAGTCTTACAAAATCCTTGGTCTAAAATATACCTTAGACAACAATTATCAAATTGGTATACAATTGATTATGCTTTTTACTCATAAATCTGTTTTACTAAATCCTTATTTCCTTTGATAAGCATTGACAATATAATACGAATTTACATAACTTCTACAATATAAATTTACATATCTGACATCTACTATATTTTTACAATATATGATTGTTGATTTATTTAACATTACAGTATTTAATATTATAGATTATTATATGAACTAATGACATTACAATGTCTTGAGGTTGGTAAACAGGATTAACATTTAATATAAATTTACATATTATTTGATTCCCGTTACAACATTACAGTTTTTTGTTATTGTTGATTTATGTAACAGTTCAATCGTTATTATTAATTAGCACATTGATCACAATAATAATAGTTTGAATCTAGTGAATACAATTAATATAAAATTTTTAACCAGTTTTCGTTTATTGAGATGCTAGGATTTTTATTTATACTATTTTGATTTTTGATTATTTCTATACTTTCCTTGAATTTTCTTTTGTATGTATCTCTTTCTCTGTGTAAGATATCTATATTATTTTTATCTATATTACAATTATTCAAAAGGCAGTGTTCATGAAAAGCAGAATTTAGTCTACGATATTTCAAATCGGCTATATGTTCTTTCAATCTTACTTTAACTTTACGTTTAGTTTCACCTATATAAAATTTTTTATTTTCGCACGTACACGGAATTTTATAGACTACATTTTTACTTTCTTCTTTATTTGTTATATTTGTTTTGTTAACTTGTTTTGCATTTAATCTGGAGAGTAGCTTATCATATGTCGGTACAAGTTTTACATTAATTTTTTTGACTTCCTTATTGACTTCTTCGTATAAACCTTTTATGTATGGAAAACGAATGTATTTTATTTCTGCTTGTTTAGGATCTATTCTTATTGTTTTATCTGTTTTTTTTTCCACACGTATCAACTAAATAAAGATGAGAAAATCCGCCAAGTGTCTTAATTTATAGCACTATATTGTGTCAGAAGCATAAATCGATAATGATGTTTTGATTGTATAAAAAAACTCATCAACTAATGTGTATCAGACTTTTTTGTCTTAGAACTTTCTGAAATTTTTACGGAGCGATAATGGATTTCTTAGTTTCATCGAAATTTATAATCACCTCGTGGACATCCTCTACTCCAGGTATTTACCAACTCATTAACCATTGTAAACTTTCTCTCTCGAGAACCGCAGAAGAATCTAGACCAATTTTAGTTCGCTTTATTATAACGTTTTTAACTATATAAATTGTATACTATGTATTTTTTTTTTTTTTTTACAAATAAACGAATGTTTACTTTACCTGGCATTTGTGTGATTCACTTTTGATACGTCCTCAACTATCTTTCATCTAGAAACACGAAACATTAAGAATTGTACTAGCGTTTAATAAATGAGTGTGTTACGCTGTTGTTTAAACGACTATAACTGGTTTAAAAAACTTATAATATTTCGACATGTTTTTACTAGTAAAACATTTTATTACAAAATAATGTACTATCAGACGAAAACCATATTCACGTTGAACAGTAACCAAAACCACATGTTGCAGTCAATATAATATATGTCTAAATCAGAATTATAATTACTTCAGCCCTTAAAATTGTACACGGGATTTTTACGATTGTATATAAATTTTTATACTTAATAAAACTTATTGAATTTCATATTAATTGTTTAAAGATTCGATATTTATTGAAGTTGGGCAATTTTAGATTAATTTAGAATTAATAATAATGTTTCTAACAGTTATGACGGATGACGAAAAACAATGTACAAGATTCATAATGAATGAAAAAAAAAATTCAAATTTACTGAGTAAAATATAATTTTAAAAAGTTGGAAATTCTTAGCCCTAAAGAAATAAAATATCGTGGCGTGAAAGATACGAGCGAAAGTTTCAAAGCTGGATCAACACTTGCAGACTAAGTCGAAAGGAGGTGTGAAATTATTAACCGATCACATTAATTGTAGCAGAACGATCGACATTAAAATTATTTAATTAAACTATAATTTGTTTTTCCATTTGAAACACGTGTCTTTATATCTGGATACCTGAAATTTTAGATTAATTGATTTCTTCGAACTTATAAAAGGATGGTATTAAAAACAGTGTTTGCAACACTAAATATATTCTAATATACGGTTTGGAGAATATAAAAATTCTTCATTATTGTTTTAATATTGAATTGAATAATTTACATATTGCAATATGAAAAATGGTTATATTAATTATTACATTCACTGGATTTAGTAACACAATATCAGAAACAATACACACATGTGGCGACATTCCGCAAAACTCGAAATACAGAATAAAAAGTAAACACGTCATTTTTATTGTATTTCTACGTGGTAGGATCCAAAAATTCGAGGAGGGCTTATAGTTTCTCGCTTTGAATAGTTTAAAACACCAACGCAATATCACCTTCAAAGTAATCTTTGGTCCACGATACATTGTTTTCCAGTGCTGGTACAGCTTGTGGAAGCTTTACTTGATGGTGCGGTATGATGTTGCCACCCACAGATATTATTTTTAATTTTTGGTATTTCTCACATTTATGTTTTGTAAATTTATTACTGTTTGAATGCTCAATAATTTAATTATATCTAGTTATTTTATACATTTTCTACAACTGTAACCATTTAAATTATTAATAAATGGGTCTCATAACTCTCGTGAAAAAAGGAGAGAACTAGTATGGTGAGCATTAGTTAAAGCAGATTTTGCCCTGTCTTTTTTTGCGGCAACGGAAAGCATAAACACAAAGATCATTTATTACATAACATAATTTTGGTCCGTCGAGGCGGATTAAGTCCGATAACAAAGAATCACAATCAGTGAGGAACGTTTCTTCAAGAAAATTTTTGATGCAGTGCGTTAAGCTTAACCTCGTGGTTATTGCGTTGGTTGGAATATCGAGCAAATTTCAGTACAACATTAGCAAGTGGGTAGAAAGTTTCTATTGTCTCTCAGGATTTGTTCAGTAAACGTAACCATATTAGTTTAATATAGCATATCGCAAGTTAGTATTCATCATGGACATCGACAGTGGAAGCGTCGACAATGGTTGAACGTGACTTCTACGTGAACGATTTGATGACAGGTAAAGACGAAGGCCAGGGGGCAGTTTATTTGTTTCAACAGCTTACAGAGATGCTAAATAAAGGACAATTTTATTTTCGCAAGTTGATCTCGAATGACAGGACAGTAACATCAGCCTTACAACAATCTGAGAGTACTGACTATCATCACATTAAGGTATCTGAATTAACGAAGGCTTTAGGTTTTAATTGGAGCACTAAGGAAGATATAGTTTACTTCGTGTTGTGCAAATTCTCTAGTCAACCACCTACAAAGCGTACTGTAATTTCAGACATCGCACGACTATTTGATCCATTGGGTTGGTTAGCACCAGTCACAATCAAGGCCAAAATGATGCTCCAATGTCTTTGTACAATTGGAACACCATGGGATGAATTGTTACCTACAGTCATTGCAGAACAATGGAAAGGCTTTAGGGCTGAACTTCAAACATTAACAGAAATAAAAATACCATGTCATGCTATTGACAGAAAATACCCACTTCAACTGCATGGGTTTGCTAACGCATCTGAACGAGCTTATGCTGCTGTCGTGTACAGTAGGCAACAAATTCAGGGAGAAGTTATAATCAAGATACTCTGTGCAAAGATTAAAGTGGCTCCATTGAAGGTTGTGACTCTTCCTAGATTAGAACTCTGTGCAACACAACTCTTAGCTAAGCTAATGCATCGAGTGAATCAACAATTGCAAATAAATAAAGAAAACATTTTCGCTTGGTCAGATTCAACTATAGCTTTGTCTTCGATTCAAAGTGAGTCTAGAAATTGGAAAACTTTCGTGGCAAACTGAGTAAGTGAGATTCAGACGTTTCTTCCTCTACAACACTGGAAGCACGTTAAATCCAAAGATAATCCTGTAGATTATGCGTCACGTGGGCTTAACCCAGCTGCGTTAAACTCGTGTGGTCAATGGTGGAGTGGACCAAGGTTTCTTTACGATGAGGAACTAACTTAGAAGGTAAGTACAATCAATTATTATAATGTTCACGAAGAAAGAAAGGTGACAATGGTCGCTTTCACAGGCAAAACTCATATTGAAGATCCTTTGAATATAAGAAAGTCATCTTCATTGTTCATGGTTAAAACTTCAACGCATCCTTGCTTATTGCAGATTTATCAACAACTGTAAGAAATAAAAGAAAAATAAGACAGTTAACTCCAACAGAAACAAAACATTCTTCCGTCTTCATTGTTTGACATGTATAGCAGGTTTGCTTTAGAGATGTTTTTGAAGCAATTAAAACAAATAACTCAAAACAGATTATGCGCACTCACAGCATTTGTTGATGAACAGTGCTGTCTTCGAGTTGGAGACAGACTGTAGAATGCAAATACAGTAGAACCTCGATTATCCGGACTAATTGGGGGTGAAGGTAGTCCGGATAAGGAAAAATCCGGATAATCGAAACAAATACTTTAATTTATCTTTTAATAATAATATAACACGTTTTCTTTTCGATGGCATATCGGTAATATTAAAAGTAATACTGTATTTAAATCGTGATCAAATTTTCAAGAAACAAATGTTCGTATTGAATTTGGACTACTACTGACCAATGCTAACAGACTACCTATTGTTTAAAAGACCCTCTGATGGCGCAAAAAGACGAATTTTATAAAATAAAAAGCAGTTGAAACTGCATTTTTATGAATAAAAATTTGACAAACTATT